ATATGAAAATGTATCGGGATCTGAATCATAAGTGCACGGTGGCCTAGTGGTAAGGTTTGTCTATACGACGCCTTGGGTCGCGGGTTCTAATCCCGTACCGTGCCTCTTGTTTTCACATGATTTCCGGTACACTTTCTATAACTTTCTATACACTTTCAATCCCCGGCGGCCGTGTTAAGACGAACAAACTAGAAATCAAACAATCAACAACATAGCCGCAAATACTTTTACTTTTTCACCCAACACAAAAAAAAAACATCACGGATGAAGACGGCTTACAGATTAACATCTCACCGGATCTATCAATCGATGAACATAATAAAGTCGTCAATTTAATAGAAAAATACAAACATTTGTTCGTCAATGATAATTCAAAAATAAAGGCAGCCAAGGTAACACCTTGCGAATTAAAATTAAAACCAAACAGTTCAGAATTAAAATTCACTGCACCACACAGAATATCACCTCAACAAAGGCAGGAACTAAAATTTCAAGTAGACAAACTTCTACAAGCAAAAATAGTTAAACCAATTTCATCCAACTTCGGAGCACCAGCCTTTTTAGTAAAATAAAGATGTTTCTTCGAAATTCAAGAAAAAATCCAGGCAATTTATTATGAAAAACAACCTACTTCATCACAAAAAATTTCTACCAAACTAAACTACAGATACAACGCTTGTAATTCCGCTAAATTTAGTTAACAATATTTTAAAATCATACCATGAATCAATACTAGGAGGGGGACACACAGGCATATCCAGAACCATTCATAAAATTCAAAATAAATATTATTGGCCCAACATAATTAAAGACGTCACTCAATTCATAAAGTCGTGTCCAAGCTGCCAAAAAAATAAAATACAAAGTGGAAAACCCATTGGGAAATTAAACCCAATACCATTAACTAACAAATCTTTGGACCGTCTAACATTTGATTATTTAGGGCCATTAACTAGTAGCAACAAAAAAAAATACATTATTGTGGCTGGATGCAATAACACCAAATACATGTTTACAAAAGCAGTAGTGTCTGCAGATGCCGAATCAACTATCAAATTCATCATACAAATAATAACACAAATGGGTTGCTTCCAATGTTTTTCCAGTGACAGAGGAACCCATTTCAAAAACGAACTCGTCAAAAAAACTTTGGATAACTTGGGTATTAAACAAGAATGGTCCACTTCATATTCACCCCAGACACAAGGTCTTGTGGAAAAGTTTAACGGAACACTATGTGCATCACTCAGAAATTATATCGAAAACAATGAACAACATAAATGGTACTATTATCTACCATACATAACTTTAGCATACAACTCAACACCTCAAACCAGTACAAATTTCAGTCCATTTCATCTACTACATGGCTTTGAACCGATCTTTCCGATAGACAACAAAATATTTCCAGAAAACTTACCTTATGGTTTATTGCCATCGCTAAAAATCTTACAAAATATTCGTGACAAAATTCCAGATAAAATTAACAAAATCCAACAAATTCAAAAAGAATATTTATTCACGAAGAAGCACGTCATCATGACCTATGACTCTGGTGACTTAGTTTTAGTTAAATTTCCATTTACTGAACATGGTAAATCACCTAAATTAGCCCCGAAATTTCGCGGCCCATTCAAAGTAATAAAAAAGATCAATGACTTAAATTACAGAATTTCACTCTTATTAAACAATAAAATTACAGAAGATATTGTGCATGTCAGAAGACTAAAACCATACTATCATAGAAACGTNAGACTGAAACCATACTATCATAGAAACGCTTAGCAATACAACTACTGCATACTAACACAACACATACTTTTTATTATTCACAATATTCCCCAATAATGCACGACACTCATTCTATTTACCTCTTAATTTTTGTTTCATGTTTTACTTTATTTAATAATATTACAGGATGAACACACCTTTACGCTAAAATATAGCATACTTAATGTAATATTTAAATTTTACATTAGTAGCCATAGATAATGAAACCATACTAATATGTTTAATTTTTTAATTTATTTGTTTTATACTTTTTGTTAACTCATTGTATGACAGGATGATCAAGTTACTATTTTCATCAACCATCTTCTTCACACTCTTCATATCTCTCAACGCAATCATTGCCTACGATTGCGCAACAGACCACCAAAACATAACGTCGTTTAGTAGCCTATCTGTGGGCACATGCGAGAAGCCTATCATTCAAACAAACCAAACCATTCACCGTCTCAAACTCCTTCAAAAATCTGAAAACCAAAATATTCTGTACAAAACCTGCTTAATATCAGCCAATTACCTCATATTAAAATGCGCCACCTTTGGGGACCTGCAAGCTCTCCCCAACGGATATTACTCTGAAATTATAGAAATTGGTAGCGCCAGATGCCACCAACTCCACAACAAACTAATTTTCGAACTACCGATGGGAGCTATTATTCAAGGACTCAAAATCAACCATACAACAAGAGCGTCCCACACAATAGCCGGATCCCTTGATAGCAAAGGCAATTGTGACGGTACTACATACATTACCCCTAGAGGAACGTGGCATAAAGCGGTTGTCCAAGCAAAATACGAAATTACGCTAACGGAGGGACTCACAACAGCTAATTACCACGACTACTACATCACATTATCAAGCGGCTCAAAATTCAAACTGTCGGATCTATATGGTTTTGACTCCTTTAAAGGAGAGGTGGTATGGAGTGTGACAGAACCATCATGTGATACTGAATACGACACACNCTATCATGTGATACTGAATACGATACATTATATGACGGCCCAGCCTCACTATTTCTCACTAAATCACTGACGGACAGCAAGGCAGATATAAAAACTTTTGTGGCTCAAACAGAAGGCATAGCGTTTGCCCTGCGATATATAAAAGATATATCAATCTGCAATACACCAATGATTCAGACGGAACATCCAATGCTATTTATATTAATGGACCAAAATCACATTAACGACATAAAACCTAAAGCTCCTTCTCCTCAAAATACTGACCTAATTGCCTACGTCAACACGAAATTTGTATGGCTAGAACATCACATGGCAACCACCTTATCTGACCTATATACCGACATCACTATTAAACAATGTGCTCAAGAAAGGAATCAATTACTCCACAAACTGTCATTAGTAATTTATTGTGCACGTACTTAAGATAGCAAGTGACCCTCGAACAACACACCCCGAGAAAAGGGATAGTTCTTATTTTGCGATACTCCTATAACATTCCCTTCCATCTTATCTTATCTTTTTCTTATTTTTTTGTTTTACAACACGTTGCCGTTGTACATCTCTTATATTATATGTTTTGACATTTTTATATTAAATACTATTATATTAAGAATAATTTCTAAATCTTTTAATTACATAACCTATTACATTCAACAAATAAAATAAAAAAAATATACGATACCNACCCTTGCTACTCTAGCTAGTCGTTATGCAAGTGGCAAACCACGTTGTTGTTACAGGCCAATATATAAAAAGTCCGCTTGCAACCCAGTCCCAGATTGGACTCATCCTAAGATGGAGATCTCGGCCCCGGAAATGGCCGACGCCTGGTTAAATTAATGCATAATTTGAAAAAAAACGTCACACACGAAAAAAACAAAATGTTGGCTGTACGCACACAGCAACTAAATACCACAACGGTGGTTCAAAAGGAAGAGAGGCACAATTTTTTCTTACACACCGGGCGAGACATAACGACGACGAAGATTACGTTTGGGAGAGGGTATCGGCTTAACAATTTACAAAATATAAAACAGATAAAAGTATGAATAATATTAAAATTATACAGGTATTGACAGTGGTGACCAGTGTATGTGTCATATAGGGAACGATTATTAAACTGATAAAGAATATTGTGTGTATAGCGTTCACCATGACAGCAACAGTACAGTTTTCTGATTACACGGCCGGATATAACGTACGCGCGCCCATTAGCAAAGCAAAACAGTAAATCTATCTATATCATAAAATTCGCATTTTGTCACGTTACAATATTTAAATGTTTTCTTACCTATTGTTGATACTATACAATTTCAACTGTCTCAGAGATTTTTGGGGTTGAGAAAGGTGACAGAAAACTTTTACAGATTTTTTACAACCACTTAACTTAATTAACTTGCCTGAAGATATATTCATAAAAGCATCATATGATTTTATTCAATTAAATACCAATGATATAACTTCAGACTTAACGAGACAACTGTTATCAAATCGAATTCAAATTAATTCTCAAACAAAAACCATAGAACAGCTGATTGTATTTATTTTAGAAAATGATTTTAGTGCAACTTTATGTGATGTACTGAGTGCATCTGCAGAGAGGTCCTTCTCCAAATTGAAGCTAATTAAAAATTATTTGCGAAATTCAATGCATCAAGATCGTTTATCATATATTGGCATTTTAAATATAGAAAGAAAAAAAATAGATCAAGGAAATATTGAAAAAATAATTGATGACTTTGCTAATTCAACAGTTAGAAGAGTTAATTTTTTAAAAAAATTTTTTGTAATAAAAGACATTTAGGTAATATTCTATTTTTTCTGATTCTGTCAAGTATAAATGACTAATTATCATAAATATAATATTTAAATATAGCATTCAGTTAATTAATTGAAGAAATAAATTTTAAAATATACAATTTTCGCAATTTTTTTTTGTATTTTATGGGTACAGCATCACTTAGTATGTATAGATCAATTGTGTTTTATAGAATAAGACCAATATAGTTCATGAACCATTATATTAGTTATATTAGTCTATTTAACAATAATTTTAAAAAGATAATTTTATGTATGGCAAATTCAAATAAAACAATCAGTCACTTACATATAGACATAGTGTATAAATAAATTGAACAGTAATATAAATATCAATGGTGAGGACTGAGGGCACTATATTTAGTTTTACACTAGGGCACCAAAACACCTAGTTGCGCCACTGAGTCCACATGAGAAATAACAACGCATCACATTTTTTTGTCCATAACAACATCGTCGAATATGAACACAGAATTAGGTAGGACATTGTTTACCGATAGTACATCGTCACCGTTTTCATAGGTGAACAACTGTACTCCTTGGACATCGCCTAAAACTTCCATGAGTAGTTGATACATTGACTGATGCAACGATTTTGAGTAAATGTAAACATTTTCAAATCGAAGTCCATTGATATCAGTTAGTAAGGTAAACATCAAGTTTGTTTTTCCACAATTTGACGGTCCACAAATCAATGCACGTATTGTGTTTGGCAATAGTTTACCACGTTTACTGGGTGCAATATCATTACTTTTCTCAAAATTCACGATAGGTAACGTGAGGATCTGTTTTTTGAAACGAATCGCATATCATAAATCAATAACCATTAATATGCAAATAATGGTCAAACAGAAACAAGGTGGAAAACGAGGTGCGGGAATATTGAACATTATAATCAACAAATTACCTTTCAGGTGTGCAAGTGTATTTATTCAAAATTATTATTTGCAATTATTTTTCGTTTTATCATTTATTTAAATGTTTATTTTCTAGGCTATCAATTTTCCGGTCCTGGAACGCGGTTAGAAAAAAGAGATTGAAGCGAGGTGACTTCGAGATGAACCCGCATGATGCTGCTTGCCGCAACCATGATATAATTTATAGTAATTACAAGAATCTCGAGGACCGTCATAAAGCGGACAAGGTGTTGAAACAACGGAGTTAGGAACGAGTGTTGAACAAAGACGTTAAATTTTCTGAACGAGTCGCAGCTTGGGGTGTTATCAACGCGATGAAATTGAAACGTATACTCGGCATGGGTTTTAAACGAGTCGTAGTGTGTGTGTGGCCAAACAACAAATGCGCAAAAAATTGATTTACTGAGTGTGGCAAAACGATCGTTGATAGCTGCATAGAGTGTGGCGAAAAAGAAAAAATTCCACTACCCCGCACCTTAGACATACCAAAAACGAAAGGTTGACAGATGGAGCTGCAAATGAGGTAAAGGTGGCGACCGCACTCAGCCGTCAAGGCAATATAGTGACAAGCAAGTATACAATTTGGGTTCGGGTTTCAAATTGACGAGTACGAATTCTAGGAAGTACTCAACTCGGCGGTGGAGAAAAGAAAGGATAAAAATAAAAACGATATGCACAAAAAACTAATTTGTCAGCTACCCATCGTGCCTTGAACGATTTTGGAATTATAAATTTCGGTAGTCTTATACTAAATCCTAAAGATTTTCGTGGCCTATTTTGCCGTGACACGTTACCTTGATCAGGACCTCAAATAGTGAAATTGGACGTTTCCACTAACACTGTCACACATTGGATAAAAGCTTTACGTACATTGATAGTTTTGGTAATTTACGACCATCGTTGGAACTGCAACGTTACTTTAAAGGATGCACAACTATATATATATATATATATATATATATATCAAAACTTCAATGAAGTAAATTGGGGCCATTTGTGTTTGGAATTTTTAATCCAACAAAAACAACATGGCAACAACATTGCGTTAACCGGCGTGGGATCTGAATTACAATGCATGTTCAATCCACCAATTGACGTCGTCGACAAATGTAAAATTGGTCTATTGGGCATGCACACAAAGAACACGATATCGAATATTGACGAGTATTGTAAAAAATTCATTTTTGGCACTGTTGACGAGCCAATAATTGGTGATAACACTACCGACGGGATCGTACGAATTTGACAATTTATAGACACGAATAACCGATAAGTACAACGGAGAAGAATACGAGTATAGTGTGCAACAACAAATAAATTTTAATGGTCCAATGTGCCAACGGTTGGATTGCTCAGGGAAAACAGCAGTGAAATCGGTGATCGAAACGTTATTTCTTTCACATACGATCGCAATACTATGCGAAGCATAATCAAATGCGATCACCCCATAGATTTTACACGCCCGCAATCAACCGGTCCAATACTGGGGTTCCGACCTCGTGTATTGGTACCGAGAATGGAACACACGTCGAATTTCCCATTGTCTATAACAAAGGTGACATACAAGTAGACTGCAATATAACTGTTGGTTCGTAACACGGTGGACGTCAATCGCATACATTGCACGAATTCTTTCCAAACGTACCACCGGGCTACCGTATTATCGAGTGTCCCAGACATGTCGTTTACTATCCGTAAAACACAAACGTATTGAACATGATTCGAATCGTATTGCTCGATCAGGACGGTCAACGTGTCAACCAACAAAGAGCAGTTGTGTTTGAGTGGCCGCAATTGACATAGTTTTCAATACTATTACTTTCGTCTTATTTATAACTTAACTTGTTTTATTCAACGACCTGTCTATCGCCAATTGTCATCATAGCCAACCCATTCCGTCTAACTTGGATATACGTACTAACCAACTATACTAGGATTCAGGTCAGACGTATTGTACATTACATATAACTTATATTTACTGAACATCTAAAATATAACTTTTCTTTGTCGTTGACATAAAACAATAGTCTAATTTTATTTAATAATCTATCCCCTGTAACTAAGGTACACGATTGCCTGTATCTCCTTCAGATAATTAAAATTATTTAAGGAGATAGGGACGATATTTGGGCAGACGTCGGGTAGCTTCCGAATCTTGGTTTTGACCAAGATCCTCAACTATTAAACAAGTCCCTAACACGATAAAATATATCCACATATTGAATACATTCTGTGTAGTCAATCGACTGTGATAATAAAATCCTGATGATTATTTACCAACTTGAATCGTCCGGGTCCAGACCAATGTATACGCGAGACACTTGTGAAAGGCTATACATTGATGAATCGATCAAGTTGTTGATTTTATTGAATTAACACCTTGGTGTAGCCATTGTGATTAAAGTCTCAAGATCCAATAGGCGTTACTGTCGCTGCGATTCGCATTCACCGTTTTTTCAATTGTACGATTACACATACGTGAATATCCAGGCAGCAGACTCATCATCTTAATAACTAATCCAGAGGTATTCAAACTGTGCGTCGCGGCTCCCAGGGTCGTCGCGGGAATTGTCGAAGGGAGCCGTTTTTCGTAATATTTTTACGAAAAACGTTAGTTATTATCATTGAGGCACACTGGTTGGAAAATGTTGAAACATGAATTGTCAACTATAATCATTCGCTAAATATAGCTTTAATTTGTCGCATGAGTGTTATCGTTTCCATAATGTTATAGTGATAGCGATAATTTGAATTTTTATTACAACCCGTTATTATCACTATAACATCTCTACTTTACTATATCAATTCTCGATGGCTTTCACGTAGAAACGTAATGGCCAAAGTATTCGAGCTTAGGAAAGAACTCAGTCTTTATCTTTTTGACTACCATGAATACCACAAAAATATTTGAAGACGCTGATTTTCTTTTAAAACTGTCATATCTAACTGATATTTTTTCAAAGCTAAATATTTTAAATAAATCTTTGCAAGGAAATGAAACTTATATTTTTGAGCTCCTTTGCAAAATTACGGCTTTCCAAAGAAAATTATTTTTATGGAAGACTAAAATAGAAAAGGAAACTTTTAATGACTGCATTTCTACGCTCCATACATTTCTAAATGAAAATGATGTGAACTTAAATGAGATCGTCAAGAACGAAATCATTGACAACTTATCGAATCTCAAAATTCATTTTGAACACTATTTTCCACAGAACACTCAACAACAAAATAGAATCAAAATTCCCTTTAGTACTGACCTTCCAACAAATTTGACATCTATTGAAAAAGAACAGTGGATTGATTTAACATCAGATTCACAATGAAGACTATGTGCGTATCATCGTCGTTAATACAATTTTGGACGCATGTAAAACTGAAGTACATCGAATTGGCCCCCAAAGCTTTGAAAAATTTAACACCTTATGCAATTTCGTATCTTTGTGAGACTGGATTTTCTGCATTAATGGTAATTAAAAAAAAATATCGCTTAAAAGTAAACGCTGAGAAGGAGATGAGAATAGCAATTTCCAAACTTGAGCCACGATTTGAAAATCTTATGAAGCATAAAGAAGCTCATACTTCTCACTAAAATATTTCATTAAAATTTTTTTCTACAATAACTTCTTATTTATAATTTTTTTATATGTAACGAATTATACATGTAATATGGTAAATAAATAATTATTTTAAATTAAAAAATATAAATTATATTAAAATAAAAATTGATTTTTTTGTCATTTATAATTTGGGAGTCGTCAAAATTTTGTGAAGACTCAAAGGAGCCATGGGAAGAAAAAGTTTGAATACCTCTGACCTAATCTATACTTTTTTAAGTGTTGTATTTTGTATTACGATATTACATTTGGAAATTTTTAATATATTTTTTTTTACGTTTTGTTATTGAACGCTTGTTTAAGTCTTTCAATTTATGCTGTCGGTAAGATGGATGATGTAGTAGTGCATTTTATAATAAATCTTAAGACCTTCCTGTCGATAATTACAGATGTAACAAATCGGTACAGCTAAATCGTGTTACATTTTACTTTATTTCAACTAACTACTATTATAATAATTAAATAAATCATTGATGTATTTTTAGTATATTTGAATAGCACACTAAATTGAGATTTGTCTTATTTTTTCATACAACATATCTTCTAAATCAATATCCTAAAATATGATGTCAGTATAATTATGGTAATTTTACTTTATTTTTTAAATACTTACAACATCCTTAGAATTTATGTTCTTTACATCATGATTTAGATTTTTTAAAAATTGTAATATATTAGCATGTCTTTTAGTCATTATTTTTATTGATTCTAACTCAACATTTGAAAAATAATGTACTTCATTGTATGATACAATGTCATTTTCTTTCCATACCTCACCAATTTTTAAAGTGTAATAGTGAATTATGTGTACAATGGTAATTTTATTTTTCAATCCTTTTACTTTATTAAACATTTTAATGGAAGTTTGTTTCAGATAATTAGATGATTGATCAACGAAAATATTGTTAAATTTTTCATTATTGAATTCAATTAATAATAAAAGTAAATATATTTTAGGCTGTGCATACATGACCATTGAAGTTATAGCAGGACTTGAATTATTTCGAATATTTTTAAATGTCGTCATTATACTTTGATTTTGGAACATAAATTCATCATCTACAAATAGTTAAACTTTAAAGTAAAATAAACTACAATAATAAAAAATTAAAAAATAATTCACCTAAAAAATAAAAAGTTGCCATTTCATATCTCCAAATATCACACAATAGTCCAATATACCCATCAATTTGATTAGGTATTTTAAAAGTTTTTACAATTTGTTTTACTAACGGAAAAACAGCAAGATCAATTAAAACGGAGAGTATCACTAATTGAGCAGGATAATTAGCTATCTAGAATATAACTTATTAATAAACAAATTTCTTTGAATCAAAATTAATAATTATATGTACAGTAAGAACGTGCAATATTTTTTGTACGCCACTCATTTCAATAAATAATTTGGTTAGATGATGATGATTAAGAAGTGTGTTCTGAATAAAGGAAACAAAATCTAACAGAAGTCTAAATATATTACATTAATTTTGTAGATATTTATTTAAAATTTCATGTTGGTATACTTATGATAAAAAATTTCTCCGACATTTTCTCCGAAAAATTTATCAAATATTTTCATTGTCAAATCAAGTATTTCTCTTTGATAATAATTAATACATCCATTTTTAAAAATTACGTTCAATGTATGAAGACCAACTTGGCATAGTTCTTGACTATTGATAGATTTTGAAATACCTAATGTACTCTTCATTATTTCTAAAATAATATTTCAATATTATTCTAATTCTACAATTTTTACACTAGCCACTTAATTTCACTTAAAATATTAGGTTTTTTGAAAAAAATTTTGGGTCTATGTTAGTTACATATGTATTTCTATTTATCTGTTACTAATTAATTGATAAGTTCTTCTAGAATATATAAAAATGAGAATAACTTCCAAAGTACTGCTCCAAAAGTTGTTATCAATCAAAATTTTCTTAATTAAATCATTTTCTATTTTAAAAGCTAGTTTAGTATATATGTTTTCATTTATAAAATAAATTTGATACCAATATAAGGTTATATAAATTATTTTTTAACAGATAAATGGAAATACATATATAAATAACAAAAACCAAAATATTTTTTTCATGAAAATTAAATATTTTAATATAAATTATTGAGTGGCTAGCGTTAAAAGAATCACCAAAAGAATACATCTTCCAATAAGAACTCACATATTTTGATTCATGATGTTTTTTTATACTTTGGTTTAAAAATTAGAAAATGCAAATTTTACTAAGAGATGTCTTATTTATTACAAAATTACCCGTCGCGTATATTATAATTCAATTATTTTAATTAGAGAATTTAATGTTAAATTTCGCAATAAACAATTACTGCACATACAAATTATTTATTATTTCAGTATACAAGCGCGCCACTCTTCGTAAGGTAGATTATGCCAGAAACTTAAAGGAATAAACTGAATATTCTTAAGTTTCATGACGCATAGAATGCAAATGACATCAAAAGCTGCAAACATTTTTTTTTAATTTTTATAAATTAATAAATACTTTTTTAATTTTATTTGTATTATAAATAATTATTAAATTACATTTTATAAATATTAAATATTGAAAAACTAATGAAATTTTAAATTCTTTTTTTTTTTTTATTAGCTTTCAATACAAAGTATTATTATAGCTTAACAATTAAATAAAATGATAAAAGAAAAAATAAATAATAATAATAAAAAAATAGTACAATTGATCTTACATCAACAAAATTACAAAAAAATTACAGTAAAAATCATTAAATAAAAAAACCAGCTGAATAAATGAAAGAAATAACTAAAGAAATTACATCGAGAGAAGTTGAGTTAAGAATAATGTAACAATTAATAGGAGAGATATTAAGATGAGATAAATTATTAAATAAAATAGAATGATTACTTTCAAATGCACAGCAGTCAAAAATTATATGAGGAAAGTCACAGAGAACTTCATCGTCATGTTTGGGGCAGAAAGGAGAATTGTTAAGGGACATTTTGTACGCATGAAAAGGAAGGCGATTATGACCAAGTCTTAGTCGAGAAAAGGATATTATTTGGAACCGGGAGAGAGGAAGTTTATGGAACCAAGGATGATTTGGAATAGTTGGTGAAATTGATTTGTGCCAAGCTGCGATGAGAGAGAAAGGAGAAGACCAATATTCTTCCCATGTTAGTTAAATATTTTTAAAAATATTATAAAAAAACTATGCCAAATGAAATAAATATATTTTTAATGAACAATTAATCATTAATAGTCAATGAGAACAAGGTATCAGAATGATTGAAATGTGGTGTTTTAATAATTGTAGTACATCTGTATCAAAGGTTGACTTTGACTAAATTGGTTGATGCATATTTCATAGGGGAATCCGATGAGATGAACATCCTACTCTGAACTGTTGAAAATTTGTATTATCAACCTTGAGCCTTCCTACTTAATTGTCCTATTTGCAAAGTTGCGTATTCTATAATATCAAGACCGTTAAATAAAAACTTGTGGATAACATGTTTGCCGAGGATTTTTTTTTCACAAATAAATGTGCCGTTTTTTATGCATACTCTTTAAATAGTTGTAAATTAATTTAATATTGACTAACAGTAATTTTTAAAATGGTTCAAACCAGTTTTCTAATTTCTGCATAAATCCAGTTATATTGTTCTAAATTATCGCGTTGTATTTTATTCATTGCTATTTGTATATCCAGGATTAGACTTATCGAAAATTTGATAAGCTTCCCAAGTTTTTATTGGTAATTTATATCCTAAGTGCAGTAGATATTTAAAAAAACTTACACATGTGATAGGATCACGTATACGTGATCACATCGCCACATCGCACTATCATTTGTCAATATTTTTAAAAAATAACCGTTAGGGGCAGCATAAGTCGACAAAAAAGATCTACAAAAGCGATCTAAAAAATATCTTAAAAGAATACATTTTCCTTATTTATATTCGGATTATAAGTTTTATCTATAAATAAAAAATTTATATTGATTTGATAATTTTTAAAAAAGTTATGTCACTTTTAAATAATAAAAATGGAAAAAATGTCGAAAATCAGTGTTTTTTATATATGTATTTTTTTTTTTTTAGATTTCCCCCATTTACGGCGAACGAGAGAAATTTTTTCAATGTTTGAGGATAATCTCAAATCTCAAATAGATGCGATTTATGATCTTTTGACGTATCGTTGAAAGAAATCGTTTCGGGGAGAACTGAGAAAAAGTGGTAATGTCTCAAAAAAATCATAGTAAAATTAATACCTTCTCAGTTTCGCATCAAAGCCAAAACAAATCTGTATACTCGATTTTATAGTTGACGTATATATTATATATAATGAATAAAGGTAAAATTCTTATTAATAATAACAAATCAAACATTGAGTGCCGACATAATAAAATTGGTCAGCATGAGTTAGCGAAATTATTTAAAGAAATATCGATAATGTTCACGGCGTCATATCCGAACACATCGCACGCCGCACAATCATCTGTCAATATTTTTAAAATATAACCGTTAGAGGCAGCACATGTCGACAAAAAAGATCTACAAAAGCGGTCAAAAATATCTTAAAAGAATACATTTTACTCATTTTGTATTATATGTAAGGCTTGATACGATTACATATACGTGATCATATCCTACTTCATTATTGTAACGCCGATTAGTCTTGTATCGTTGACACAGTGACACATGTATTACTGCAGGAGAGTAGACTGGACACATAAGGAACTTTTGGAATTCACGGCTACTGTGCTATAATACTAAGATCCTAAACGGCAATTAACTTTTTTACATCATCGCTACCATCACTCTCTTATCACTCATAAAGTATACTGATTATCACACGTGTTTTATATAATTATTCAATAATTAACTAGTATTAATAAACTAATAACATATTAATAAGTAATCATCGGCGTCAATAAAAGAAGACGAAACACATATGCTATTCCATGAACTTTTCAAAAAACAATTTTAAATATGATGTTCTCTCTAGCGCCTGTTGTAAATCAAAGATTCGGTTAAACTAAACTCCTTTTCTCTTAAAAACACCAAACACAGGTTCTTCAACTAATAGATATTAATTTGAAATTTATGATAAAATTAACATTACAATTTTCTTGCCTTTTTTTACCTCAACGTAACTATAGGTCGTTCTTTTGGTGTTACTGATTATCGAAAACAAGTATTCTCTTTTAAAGTTTTTATCTAATTAATAAAAATTTTTAACTTCACATAATTTATATATTTATAATTTAATTTTTGAGATTTTGTTTAATTATTTAATTCATTACATGAATTAAAAAATACTTAATAAAATAATTTAAAAATAGATCTAATTTTAGGACAACATTTTGAAGTTTTAACTAAAGATCTGCCTGAAATTCAATATTCAGCTATATGGTCCAGTGGGATAACTGTGAATAGGGGTTATTGCAAATAATTACCCAAATTAACAACTATGATATTGAATATAAATATTTAAATAAACCAATTTTCTTTCGTAAATGTTAAAAAATAAACAAACTAGTGTTGAATTATGTTATTGATTTAAATCTTTTTCTTTTCTTCCTCGCCTTAATCCCAATTACTTGGGGTCGAGCACCCTTATCCTAAACTTCCACTTGACACGATCTCCCATATCATCTACGCTCACATCAGCTGTCTTCAAATCGCATTCAATAGCATCCCTCCATCTCTTTTTTGGTCTTTAACTACCTCATCTTCCTTCAACATTCATTTCTATAACTATTCTTATAGTTTCCGATTCCTCTCTCTTCATAACATGACCAAACTATCAAAGTATATTTTTTCTCATCTTATACACGATAAACGCTACACCTAAACTTCGTCTGATAAGTTCGTTTGTTAACCTATCTTCTCTCGTCACTCCAGGCATCCATCTAAGAATTCTTATCTCTGTTACACTTATTCTTTGCTCTATTATCTTGTCAACCGCCCAACACTTTGAACTATACATTATAGCTGGCAATATAACAGTCTTGTAGAATTAATCTTTCAGCCTCATTGGAATTCTTTTATCGCATAAGACGCCAGAAGCTTCTCTTCGCTTCAACCATCCACACTTAATTCTGTGTCTTACATCCTCGTCAATACCACCACTCTTTTGCACTTTTTTATATCCTTCAGTAGATTCAAGTGTATCTCATTCCAGCTCCAAATCTTATCTCTTTTTAGTAATTGTCTCAACGGGGATATTATGTGCGAAAAATTCGATATGAAGTCTCTTAGGTAATTTACCATTCCTAGATTCTTTTGCGACTGTTTTATTTGTTCGGTCTTGTAACTCATTAACTCTAACAGAGTCAGGCTTTACTCCATTTTCATTAAATAAACATATTTTGACTTCATTCATATCAAACTGTATTTTATTTGTATTGAGTTTAGTATTATTTTCTCATGATACCTGCATTACCTATTCACGTAATCATGTTTCTCTTTGGTGTAAGCGGTTATCATTATGTCATCAAAGTAAAGAACTATTATATATTTTAGAAAAATATTTCTGGCGCTACATTTCATCCAAATGGTAGTCTCAAAAACTTGTAAATGCCAAATGATGTGCTAAAGCTACATAATTAACTTGAATTATCATCTAATATTCTAATGCTATTTGTCAGAACCTATTTTTTAAATCTATAACTATGTAAAACATTTTATCTTTGAGATTTAGTATAATTTCTTCTAATGTTGGTATTGGAAATTTTAAAATTTATTTAGATCTTGCGGACCAAGATATATCGTAATTTTTTATTTCGATTTTTTCCATTAAGTTTAATAGTCTGGCAACTTGAATTTCTTTTGTTTTTTTACTAGTTTCATTTGCCGTGAAATAAATTTCTATTTCTTGTCTGAATAATTGAAAATTAGCTTGAATATTACCTTCTAATTTCAGTTGCTCTGGTATTTCGTAGTCCGTCATTAATTATTATTAACTGTATTATTTTATGATACCGATATTTTATTATTATTATTATTAACCGTATTATTTTATAAAAACGACTGCGCAATGTCTTGTTTCTCTTATTGATGCCGGTGATTACTTATTTTATTTTAACTAATATGTTATTAGTTTATTAAATATTAAATAATGATTTTAAAACACGTGTGTGTTAATCAGTATACTTTTAATACTGTGATGTGTATTGTACAGGTTAGAAATGTTACATTGTTAATTTTATCAATAATAATGTGATAACACAACAATATGAAGGTTGATAATTTTGAATATTTGAATATTGAGTGTGTTGAAAGAAGAATGATAAAGAGCTAGAGAATGACCTATGAGGATATATCATTTGAAAATTATTAACATAATTACCTAAATTGGCTAATTGGATAGTTCTTTTTATTGATTTGTAGTAGTAAGAAACATGA